AGCCTCTGTCAATCACCATCTTTTAATACTCTATACATAAATGAGATGACACATTACTTATTTTACTGTGCCTGATTTAACTTAGCATATCCTTTACATTGACCAGTATTGTTCTAAATGATACAATTTCATTATGTTTTAAGATTAAATATTATTCCCTCACATATAGATATCACACTTTGTGGTGATATTTTTTGTACCCTAATAAAATTGGCCTGAAGAGCAGAGAACAGAACAAGCTACTAAATTAAACATAGAGGCCAGACAGTGGTGGCACACACCTTTAATCCTAGCACTTGGAAGGCAGAGTCCGTCTGGATCTCTATGAGCTCAAAGCCACCCTGAACTATATGAAATTGACTCAGTCTAGGAGAGAAAACAGAGCTAGGCAGTGGTGGCATATACCTTTAATCCCAGTACTTGGGAATCACATGCCTATAATCCCAGCACTAGGAAGGAAGTAATATGGCTGGGTGGAAAAGGGTATATAAGGTGTGAGGAGACAGGAAGTAAGTACTTCCTCTCTTTCAACTGAGAGCTCTTTTGGCTGAGGGAAGCCCTCTTTCAGCTGAGGACTCAGACATTCAGTGAGAGGATTCGTGGAGTTGGCAAGGTGAGGCATGGCAGTGGTTTGTTCCTTTGTCTCTCTGATCATTCAGCATTTACCTCAATATCTGACTCTGGGTTTTTTTATTAAGACCATTTAGGAATTTGTGCAACTTCTGGCACCCAACATGGAATTCGTGCAACAACACTTTCTCTGTGTGTGTGGTTGTATGTCTGTCTCTCTGCTAGTTTGTTTTGAGACAGGGTCTCACTTCGTAGCCTAAGCTGGATTTGACCTCCCTATACAGATCAGTTTAGCCTTGAACTTATGATTCCTCTGCCTCAGCCTCCTCCAGGGTACTAGAGTTAAAAAAGTTTACCACCACACCTGGCCCATACATTGATCCTGTACACCAGGACAGGAGACATGTCTCAGTGTTGTGGGATATTTGTACACTGATTGAAGATGTATTTGCTGTGATTGGTGTAATAAAAAGTTGAATGGCCAATAGCTAGACTGGAAGTATAAGCAGGATTTCTGGGGAAAGAAAAGAAGAAGAACAGGAATCTAGGTGTGCAGGAGACACAAAGAGGAAACAGGATGTACAAGATGGAAGAGAGGTAACACCACATGATAGAATGTAAATTAAATATAAATGGGTTAATTTAAGTTATAAGAGCTAGTTAGGAACAATCTAAGCTATAAGCCAAGCTTTCATTAAATATTTCATAATTAATTTCATAATTAATAAGAAGTCTCTGTGTCATTGTTTGGGAGCTGGAGGCCTCCTAAAGAAAAGTTAAACTACAATGAGGGGCTCAAATATCCACATAGGGCCCGAGAAAGCAGTCTCTTGGGTGGGCTCAGCGTACAGAGGCATGGCTCTTTTAAAGATGTCCCACTGTACAGCTGAGCACTTGAGCAACCAATAATGGGTACAAACTCCTGCTTCAGGTAGATACAACAAATTTCCAGAGATGGGTGAATAAATGCAGCTAGGCTGTCATGGAACCAAGGGAGGCAGAGCAAGCTGCCAGTGAGCCACATGCTAAGTAAGCCACGTGGCTATAGACTAGCACTTTAAGAATTGATTCACATGGTCAGTGGAGGCTGCAGATGAGGGGGAAAAAAATCCAGGTCCAGGTTAACAAAACCTCTTAACAGATTACAGTGTGTTTAAAAATGTACTTAGATGCTAAATAAAGAAAAAGAAAATGGGTATAGACAGTCATTAAAAAAATAAATAGTTTAAAAATAATAAAGTCTTTAAAGAAAGAGTAAAGTAATATAAAAAAAATAAGCCATGTAAGGATGGGAAATACAGAGGAAATCTGAATCCTGCTGTGGGATGGTCTGTATGTCAAATGTGTTGCTCTGATTGGTCAATAAATAAAACACTGATTGGCCAGTGGCCAGGCAGGAAGTATAGGTGGGACTAACAGAGAGGAGAATGGAGAGAACAGGAAGGCGGAGGGAGACACTGCTAGCCACAACCATGACAAGCAGCTTGTGAAGATGCCGGTAAGCCACGAGCCAAGTGGCAAGGTATAGATTTATAGAAATGGATTAATTTAAGATTAAGTACTACATAGCTAGAAGCCTGAGCCATTAGGCCAAACAGTTTAAATAATATAAGTGTCTGTGTGTTTATTTTATAAGTGGGCTGTCGGACTGCCGGGGCTTGGTGGGACCCAGAGAGAAAACTCTCCAGATACAGGATCCTGTATGGTGCTTTGCTGACTTTGAATTTTTAAATGCTAATGTACAAAAAAAATGCTGTTGAGATACATGGATTATAGAAACTGCTAAATTAAACAAACCTATATATTTTGGGGGAGAAATTATGCCTTTGTTTGTACAGGAAACAAAAAGCTATGGTTCTCTTCAAAATTAACAAAGATCAGATTTGCTTGGGGGAGACCTCCTGAAAATCTTAGCTACAGATAAAGAAAGAAAGAAAGAAAGAAAGAAAGAAAGAAAGAAAGAAAGAAAGAAAGAAAGAAAGAAAGAAAGAAAGACTATATAGAACAGGTGACATATATGCTGATCTCTCTACATGGAACAGCTCTGAGACTGGATGAAACATGATAAATCATGTTGGCTACAGAATCCTCATGACTTATTACTACATGCCATCCTTTCATGTGGCATGGCTAGAGGTTTGGTTATACAGTCCAAATGGACTTATAAAGTTGAAATATGCCTTTTATCTGCTCAAACACAGAACAAAAAATCATCTTTAGCTGACTTGTGCACACTGCATATTCCATACTTGTGTTAATACAAGTATATATGCTATCTTTATAAGTTTCTGTGTTTTCAGAAAAAAAATGATCAGACACCAATAAAGACAAGTAACAAGTACACACACACACACACACACACACACACACACACACACACACACACACCATGAATCCAACATGCTCCACCATGCCCAGTGATTGCTGTTAACTACAGTCATCATACTATACTGTAAATCTCTCTAAACTTAATCCTCTTAGCCATCAGAGTTTCATAATCAGAAGGAAGAAAATCTATGGGACATTTTGGGTCATCACTGCTACTGAGGAGATATAACTGACATTTAATGGACTGAAATCAGAAGTGCTAAGTCTCTTGTACCTTGTGATTTAGGCTCAGACAGTGAGGAATTCACTCATCCCAAAGTACAACTGACACTGTTTAAAATCACTCTCTTGGAGAGAACATATTTGTCCTCCATCATTCTTTGTATTAAATTACTAATCATTTTTAGTCATTTGCACTTATCCAACTTAAATATATTTAAAGATAAATGTGAGAATTGTTCTGAGCTTCCCCCAACAGATGAGCTAACTAAAATTACTGAGCTTTTTTATTCATTAAAACCCCTCTTACACTCTGCAATAACAAAAATGAAGAAACAAAGAGGCTCAATGCACAAACTTTATTCTAAAGCCCTCAGCATTATACTTTAAGAAAAAACAATATTTAATTTGTAGGAAAATTTATATTAATGTTTAACTATCTAAAATTTTTTCAAAAAATGTTTTCTATCAACTTCATTGTTTTGATAGAAAGCAAGCAATAAGATATAGAAAAGTATTAGCCACACAGAACTGGACTTCGTGATCATATTAAAATCTACATGAAGTTCATTTTCTTCCAATGGCCATACTCTTCAATCTTGATTCAAATTAAACATTGCAAAAACAAATTTTCTTTTAGCAGCCACAAGCAATGAGCATGTAAAATACTGGCTATATTAACTCTTGATGTATTAGAAGCAAATTTTCTTTTTTTTGGGGGGGGGGTGGTTTCGAGACAGGGTTTCTCTGTGTAGCTTTGCACCTTTCCTGGAACTCACTTTGTAGACCAAGCCAGCCTCGAACTCACAGAGATCCGCCTGCCTCTGCCTCCCCAGTGCTGGGATTAAAGGCGTGTGCCACTGCCGCCCGGCAGAAGCAAATTTTCTAACAAAGTAACTTCATTGACTCTCTAGCCTCCTATTTATTTATGCTATTTTTCAGCCACTATTTCTGTGCTGGCAGAATTATGTTTTCTATAAAAATAAGTCATTTACAGAGTGTTAGCAACTTTTAATTACTAGTGATACACAAAGAACCATGGGGGGATGAGACTGAGATTGAAGATCAAGCCTCAAATTTAATCACCTACTAAGTTTATTAAACCAGATTCCTGGCTCTGTAAATCTACTTGAGCCAAATATATAGTGTGAATAACCCTTGAAGCAAAGGTGATGCTGCCATTGAGCAGACAGCATTTCCATTGGCATTTGATTAAGGTGTATTGGGAAGGCAAAGATCTAAATTAAGAAAACCACAGCATGGTTAGATAAGGTTGAAGACACAGACTCTTCACAGGACTTTTGCTTGGAAGATATTAAAATTTTAAGGACTCATTTATGTTGGAACACTTTGTTTTCATATTTACATTTGTTTTGTATTTATAAACATATGGAATCTTGGCTATTTTCTATTTAGGAAGTCCTTTGTGTCTTTAAAGCTAAGAATGTTCCTAGGGAATGCAATCATTAACCTAAAAGCTGTATTTTCTGTCATTTTACTTTTATATAATATTTTGAATTCTTTTATCATTCAGAAATATATGAATGATTTTTCTTTTCATAGACCACACTGCAATCTAATTCGTAAGTTGAAAATTTTCCTTTCTTATGATGCTGCAGATTGAATTCAGGATCCAGTACTTGCAAGTTCTCTACTACTGAGCTATTCCCAACTCATTTCTCAAGTGATGCAAATGAGAAACCTCTTTTCAACATTCCTTCTGTCATGTCTTTCTAAAATATCATACTTCTAAATTGTCTAGCTGAAGAATCAATATGTGAAAAAATTAATCAGGAAGAAAAATCTGAGAACCAGAAGTCCTATAGCACACTGCATACCATCAACATGGAATTCATTCTTGTAGATTTAAATGAAGCTCTTACCTGCATGAGCTGCTGCTTCAGTTTCTGAATTTCTGAAATGTTCAGTTCACTGAATAAATCAGACACGGGGTGTAGGGATTCTCCTTTCCTTGATGTGGGAGTACGATAGTCTCCATTCAGTTTCCCAAGAGGCCCATGGATATGCCCATTCATCTTGTCATCATTGTTTGGCTCACTCCCATCCTCAGCAAACTTGAGCCCATCTACTGAGATGCTGATGTGGTTATCACTAAGGTTGATGTACTGGGACAGCTCCTTCCTCAGGTTGTTTTTTTGTTCTCTTTCATTTTTTAGTGTCTCAAGGGCTTCTTCCAACTGATGCTCTGCAATCTCTTTTAGTCGAATGGCATCTTCCAGCTGGCTATTCAGTAGCACTGTTTCTTCTTCAAATCGCTTAATTTCATGCTTTAAGCCTTCATATTCAACCTAAATTAGGTTAAAAAAGATTCATAAAACTAAAATTTGGGCCTTACAAAAATTTCCATTAAACACTCTAATGGACTTAATCATTTAAGTATAAACAGTCTACAAAATAAATAATAAAAAGTACATACTATATTCTTATGGTACACAAAAGTTACACAGATATAAACACATACACTCATACACATATCTATATATACAACTAGCTATATTTTAAAAATAAAAAATATATAATCTAACATCTAGCCTGCTCATGAAAAGGTATCTACTATACTAGGACATTTTTTAGGATCTAGTGGACAAAAGGATACATTATTTATTAGGATCTATTGTTTTTCTAATAAACAACAATAAAATATTTTGGTAACATTTTTTCAAATTTTTGAATATGTAACACCCAAGAAAAAACTTTTTACTACCAATGTTTTACTTCATTAAAAAAAACACAGTTTTAATATACACACAAACATTTGTTTAAAAGATCACAATAAGACCAAAATTTCAATAAAACATCATTGAGAATAAGATAAAAAATGCCAAAAAATTAACCCCAAATAATGAGTATCTATACTGTTAGTGATGTAATATTCTTTTGAATTATAATAGGGAGTCTGCTCAAACAACCTTTGGTCATAGGAACTATAGATGACAGTGTCTCTGAGCTAGTATGCCTTCCTGGAGATTCTTCCATGGTACTAACCATATGCCACCTTTTAAAAACATGTTATCTGGGGCACACATGGTGCTATATGTCTTTAATCCCAGAACTCTGGAGGCAGGTACAAGTAGATATCTGTGAGTTTGAGGCCAGCATGGACTACATAGTAAGTTTCCAGGCCAGTCAGGGTTACATATTGAGCCCCTGTCTCAATAAAAAAAAAATAAGTACCTTTTTATTCTCCTAGATATCCCTTAGTATATCAATGCTCCTCCACAATGTTTAAAACCAAATTCTGCTCTTCAATAAGCATTTGCTTAATAGATAACTACTTTGAAAAAAAAAACTAGAACAAGTACTAAACATTATCTTACTAGATACTAATATAAACTGTACATTTAGTTTTATATTTATTTGTATTTTTATTGTTTAAATTGAATCAGGGATCATAGACCATTATTGCTTTCATATATATTTTACTTCTCTACCCTTTTCATAACCTTAATGCAATTTTTTTATTGTAAAAATGTTGAGGTACCAGTTTAGTTCAGATGTAGATTTGGCTGAAATAAACAAGACCTAATTGAAAATGCCTTAGTTAAGATAGAAGGACTTTACCCTGTGTAACAGAATGGGAATGGATAGCCAAGGCAAGCTTGGAATCTCAGCTCCATGAGATCCTCTGTGAACCAGGCCTCTCTCTTGCTACATAACCTCCTACTACAGTCCACACAATCCAGGAGGACTTTGCCATCTTGACTGTGTCCCCAGTGGAATGAAGGAAAGGATATATCCTCTCCCTTTAAGGACCCCTCAAAGTTGCCCACATTGTTTTTCCTCATATACATATAACATTTTGCTGTAAAGAAAGTGAAAAATGTAATCTCTAGTAGGATCAGACTTGTACAGTTGAAAATTGTAAATAAAATGGAAGAAGGGAACAACAGCATTCAGTGTTATAGAAGGTCACTAGACTAATGGCACATGGAACACACTATGGACGATTCATGAATAAAAGCTGTTTCTAAGAGTATTAGTTACATATGGGGATGAGGAGAGTATTAATTCTTTAAAGAATGTTAACCACCCTACAGTTTGGTACATGGTTGATGGACCTGACTGAGTGATTATAACAGATTTAAACTAGAATAGACCTAGACCTTGTTTTTGAGCAAGCCCCTCTGAAAGAATTTGAACTTTTAGTTCACCTTTGCTGAATTACTGGCACGAATAATTGATTTATAAGTGAATTATCATATTACAGACTCAAGAATACAACTAGCAATAATTGTAAAAACTCAAAATGCAAACCAGTTAGGAAAACAAAACCATCTATTGTGGTTTGAATGTGAAATATTTATGAGATTGAACACTTAGTCACCAGCTGGTGGTGCTGTTTGGAAAGGTTATGGAACCTTTGGGAGATAGGATCTCACTGGAAAACGTCAGTTACTAAGGAGAGAACTTAAGGCTTTATAACCTGGCCAGATTCATGTTCTTGCCTCTGTACCTTTTCTATCTGCAACCATGCCTTTCCTATCATGAGGGACTGTTACCTCCAAGCACCAAAAGACAAAATGAAACTTTTCTCCAGTAAGTTGCCTTTTTCATAGTATTTTAATCACAGCAATAAGAAAATAGCTAAGACAGAAATTGGTACCAAGAAGTAAAATCATTGTTGTGATAAACCTGACCATGAGGTTCTTAAGCATTAGGAACTGGTTTGTGGGAGAATGTGGAAGAATTTGGGACTTTGGGCTAGAAAAGCTCTGGAATAGTGAAAAACAAAGTTTGATGGGTTGTTCTGGTAGGATTTTGGAAAGTCAAATAAAGAGAGAAATGCAGATAATGGTGGGTTGGCGAATGATAGTTCAGAGGAAAACAAGGAATCTATGCAGGATGTCATTCATGTGATATTTTAGCTGAATTAAAATATAATGGACTCGCCGGGCGGTGGTGGCGCACGCCTTTAGTCCCAGCACTCGGGAGGCAGAGCCAGGAGGATCTCTGTGAGTTCGAGGCCAGCCTGGTCTACAGAGCGAGATCCAGGAGAGGCGCAAAGCTACACAGAGAAAGCCTGTCTCGAAAAACCAAAAAAAAATATATATATATAATGGACTCATGTGCTTTGTTTGTGAATATCCAGGCAGGACACAATTCTACATGTTTAATGGTTATTACTATTTTTATGTAGGTCTTTGGTGATAAAGAGTAATAATTGGGGTAGAAGGGTATTAAAAATATGTCTCTTTCAAAAGAAGAAAGCCTAAGCTCCGATGTCCATGTGATTTCCAGTTCCTGGTAAGCAATTACCTAGGGAAATATTTACCTAGGTTGAGTACATAGAATCTGATAACTGTGATATGAGCAAACCAGGCTCCAGCTCAAGGTGGCAGCAGAACTTACTAGTGACTGGTTTTGCGGGCATGAGAGATAAGAAAGGATCATGAAGTCTTCTTCCACAGTTTCAAAGACTTTTGAGAACAGGCAGCATGTGGCATGGGTAAAGTTCCTGAAAGTAGGCCCTGGGAATCCATTGTGTGAAGCTGTGAAAGTGAATCCTAAGTTGTAGTGAAGACACAAAATATTGGAGATACCAGAATCATGAGACATCTGCCAAGGAAAGCTGTAGGTGTGGTATGAAGCCTACCTAAGACAAAGGCTATATGTACTGCAGAGGGCAGAGCTGGAGGAACGGGGCCCAGCCACTTTCATCACAAGCCCCAGATGGCAGACATGAAGCTGTAGGATTTAGTTAGACTAAATATATTTTGCATCAAGAAATGCCCATGATCCTAGAGAGGCTAGAAGCAGAATGTTGTGGTTTGAATGTGAAATGTCCCCTGTAGGCTCATATATTTGAATATATGACTTCACCTAGTGGTGCTGTTTGGGAAGGTGGTGGAAATTTTAGGAAGTAGAGTCTTGCTGGTGGAAGTTGGTAACTGAAGGTAGGCCTTGAGGACTTATAGCCCAGGTCCACTACCTGATCACTTCTCTGTTTCCCATGTAATATGACCATCCAACTTCTTGTTGCTGTTGCCATGCCTTTCCTGCTTGCTACCTGCATTCCCCACCATGACGGACTATCTCCCCAGCAACTGTAAACCAAAATAGATCCTTTCTCCCAAAGTTTTTTTGCCAGGGTGTTTTATTACAGCAACAAAAAGGAACTAAGACACCATCCAAGCCTCGTTACAGGAAGAAAACGTAAATTACAATGGACTTTTATAATAAGGTTACAGCTAAAAAAGAAATCAAGTATTTAAAATGAAAGGAAAAGACAGACAGGAGGAGGAGAGATGAAAGAAAGGGGAAGAAAACAAAGAAAAAGAAAGGAAGGAAAGGGAGGAGAGGAGAGATAAAAGAGATGAAAGAGGAAAGGGGCAGAGAGGAGAAAAAGGAAGGGGAGGGGAGGGAGGGAAGGAAAGGGGGAAGGGAAGGGAAGGGGACAGAGAAGGGAAGGGGGAAGGGGAGGAGACAGGAGAAGAGGGGAGGAAAGGAAAAGAAGGAGGACAGGAGGGAAGGGAAGGGAAGGGAAAAGAGAAGGGAAGGGGGAAGAGGAAGGGGAGGAAGGCATACAAGTTTTTATAGGAAGATGTGGTTGATATATTGTATACCCCAATAAATTTATCTGGGGGTCAGTGAACAGAACAGCCACTATATTAAACATAGGTTTAGGCAGTGGCAGCACACGCCTTTAATCCTAGCATTCTGGAGGCAGAGATCCGTCCGGATCTCTGTGAGTTCAAGGCCACACTGGAAACAGCCAGGCATGGTGACTCACACCTTTAATCCCAGGAAGTGATGGCAGGAAGAAGAAAGGTATATAAGGTTTGAAAACCAGAAACTAGAGTTTTTTTAAGCTTTTAGACTTTTGAGCAGCAGTTCAGCTGAGATCCATTTGGGTGAGGACTCAGAGGCTTCCAGTCTGAGGAAACAGGATCAGCTGAGGAAGTGGCGAGGTGAGGTTATCTGTGGCTTGTTCTGCTTCTCTGATCTTCCAGCACTCACCTTAATACCTGACTCTGGGTTTGTTTTTATTAATAAGACCTTTTAAGATTCATTCTACAGGAAGATCTTAAGGATGCTATATAAAACAAGTTAGTACACCCAACAACAACAAGAAGTTGCTAAGTTAAATTTATTATAATACATCTGACTTACTACTAAAACAAATTAGCATTCTTCTTACTTAATAACACTGCACCGTAAACTATACTACTTACATTTCTTTCTTATAAATTTTAGCCGACATAGGAAGATTGAGAAATTCCAGTGAACAAATTAAAGGAGTATAAAAAGATCTGACAAGTTATTTCTTAAGAAATAAAGTATAGGGCTGACGAGATGGCTCAGCAGTTAAAGAGCACATGCTGCTCTTCCAGAGCACATGATCTCAATTGTCAGCACCCATGTCAGGTGTCTCACAAGAACCTCTAACCCAGGCTCCAGGGAGATTCAAAGCCTGTAGCCCCCACAAGCACCTGCACCCCTGTTTGTGCTCATACACATGCATAAAAGAGTAAAACTAAGTATTTTGGGAAAAAAAAAGGAATAAAGGGAAGAGTGAACCTCATTTATTAGAAAATGTAGACCCATCTGTGGTATAACTTTTTAAGAAAATCTTCTTAAGCCTCACCTGGTTCTGTTTTAATGTGGACACTAGTTTCTGTAACGTAATATTTTCTTCTTCCAGTTCTGTATAGTCCTGAAGGAGTCTGGTCTCCCGGAATTTATATTCTCGGATTTCATCTTTCATTCGTATTCTCTGTAGCTCCACCATCTCATTGTTCTGAAACAACAATATAAACAATCAGTATAAAACTTCCTTATTCTAGGTTTTAGAAAATGTAGGGGAAAAATACTTGTTAAATAACATAAAAGATTTCCTAGAATTAAATTGGTACTGCCTTTTTAGATGACAATTTAATTATATCTAGCAAAATTTCTAAGCACAAATACCTGACCCTAGGCACAAGCAATTTGACATTTAAAAATCATCCTTAAACATATTTTCAAATTAATAAACAAAAAGCTAAGAAAATTCATGTTTATTCACACAAAGAATGGGAAATAGACTAAATTTTTGCTATTTGGAGTCACACTGAAATAAATTATTTTACTCTTGAATTATAAAATTATTTAAAATGATGAGAAATACAATCAGAGGGAACTTTAATGTGTTAAAATGGAAATATAGCTACAATGTATTATTAAATATAAAAATAAGCTGTAGACTAGTATGCACAGTAGGATCTCATAAGTGTTAAAAATAAGGGAGTGGGCTAGAGAGATGGCTCAGTGGCTAAGAGCACTTGCTGTTCTTGTAGAGGACCTGGATTGGATTCCCAGGGCCACATGGCAGTTTACAACCATCTGTAACTCTAGTTCAGCATATTCCATACCTTCTTCCACTTCCACAGGCACCAGACATGCATTCAGTGCACTAACATACATATAGAGAAAATACTTACACACATAAAATTATGTTTTTTATATATATAATATTTGGTTTTTCAAGACAGGGTTTCTCTGTGTAGTTTTGGTGCCTGTCCTGGATCTCACTCTGTAGACCAGGCTGGCCTTGAACTCACAGAGATCTGCCTGGCTCTGCCTCCAGAGTGCTGAGATTAAAGACATGTGCCACTGCCGCCCAGCAAAAATAATAATTTTTAAAGTAAAGATCTCTATTTAAATAAATAAATAAGGGTGACTTTGTATTGTAGTGCACATCTGGATTTCCTGAACTTGGAATGTAGAGGAAGGAGGATTGGGGGTTCATGGATAGCTTGGGTTATATAAGACTCTCTCTCAAAAAACAAAACAATAAAAATGAATAAAATTAAAGAAATGTATACATGTGTACATGCATACATGAACAAACTTCACTTTTATGTTATAAATATATTTGTGAAAATTCTCTCCAAATTTGTCAATAGTGGTTATTTGGCAGGGGTAGTGTTAGGCAGATCACCACAATAAACAGAGGGCCTATTACTTTAATTTTATAACCTATGGATAACCACAAGCAGGCCCTACATAAAATTCTCCATTGTTTAAAAACCCTTATTGGTAACCTCTACTCCATGTATATTTATACTGTACTCCCTTTCTACTCTGTAGAAAAAACGCACTAACTACTGAACCATGCTAATTTATGACTGATATGACTTATCGCTCTTAAGTATGAATACAGGTAATGATTGAGGGAGAAACACATCTTTTTGTTCATAGCTTGGGAGATAAACAGGAAATGTTATATTAAAACTACCCATTTTTTTCTTCTAGGCCTCTCAGAACCTTTAAAATGCCAATATACATTGAGCTTGTGTATATTAACACTCTGTTAGAGCAAAATACAATATGCACCATTTCCTAAATGTATTTGACTATAAGACCTTTATCTTTTTCAAGGAATATTTTAAATAATTTATACACTGAATCATTGGAAACAAGAGTATTACATAGGCAGAGAAGCACAACTTCCAGCTACTGAGGCCCTAAACACAGGGAGCTGACAAGAACTCACCTTGCCCTCATACAGCCCAGGGGTCAGAGGTAGCCAAATTATTATCACACCTCACAGGTCAATATTAATTAGTCCTACAAATGACACATGATACATATCAACCAGGCCAACTCTTCTGTGAAATTCTTCATCTGAACATTTTTCTAAAAGTATACTCTGGACTTTCCAAGCACTTGTCTCCCAGCCCAAACCTCAGGGCAAATAGTCTTTCAATCTAACTTGGTAATGCAAAGGAACCTTTACTTATTCCCTGGTGGTGTAGCACCTCCCTGCCCATCCTCCTAAGTAACCCTAAAAAAATATAAATAAGTAAAAATAAAAGCAACAACAACAAAAATTTTGCCTTTTGGGGAGTGGGATGGTGTTGGTGAGACATTGAGGCTTAACTTCAGACTTCTGCCATGATGTTGGTGTTGTGAAGAATTCCCGGAAAGAAGCTGTGTCTGCAAAGACTGGCTGGTTAAAACTGCACTGATGTTGAGAGTTCGGAATGTTGCTGGTCCAGAGGCTAACTACCTTATCTTGGGCTACCGTCAAGACCAACAGTAGACTCATCCATCTGTAGAGTGGTAGAACTAACATCCTATGACTAATAGATTTTTTAAAAAAGGAAAAAAAAAACCTTTTGAAATCTATTAACTTAGCAGACCACTTGCTTTCACCATCCCAAAAGCTAAGAATGTCATCAGACATCATTTGAAGCCTACAGAAAAGCTTCCTCCATCTTGCTATAACTACCTCTCTGATGTCCCCACCAATGTATTTTAAATATGTCTTGATTTATAACTTTCTTTGGTCTGTAAAATTATAAAACTTCATAAAACCACTTCCATGTTGGAACATGGAATTTGGGATAACCTAAGTCTATGTTCCCAGGCCACAGTCATTCACAATGGCTCCAGAATAAACTATCTCTTATTCCCTTTAAGATGAGAGCTGTGTTTAGTACTTCAAAAATTTTTGATGCCAAAATGTGGGACTCTGAAAATGATCCATTTTTTCACCAGAGGAAGGACCTGAGTGAAAGCCATCTCCCTGCCTGGAACCGTTGAGTCTGAGCTCCTTGGTGTTATTTCCTCAGGTGGGTGGTTAGTGAGTGCTTTCTGCGGCTCATGGGCCTCTCCTGCTTTGGTCAACAGTCCACTTGTTTATTCTGAGCTAGTAAATTAAGGATCCCAATAGAACATAAACCTTTTTAGTTTACTTTCAAAGTTCTTGGTTTAAGGTATCTAGTTCATTTGTTTGCTTTGAAAGCAGCTTGGTTTAGAAACTTAGTTTGGTTTGGCTTGCTTGCTTTCAGATCTCTAAAGGCATTTTGGATTTTGCTAAAAATTGGAACTTTAAACGCTGTTTGTTTTCTCATTTTTTGTTTGTTTGTTTGTTTGGCTTGGCTTTCTTTGTCTTTGAAATATTTTGATTTATTATCTTTTGGGCTTTGTCTCCTGACACTCCTCCTCAACTTAAAATTTGGGGAAACCTTTATCTGTGTTATCAGGCCATGGCCACTCAAAATGGCTCCAGAATAAATGATCTTTTATTCCCTTTAAGGTGACAGCTGTGGTTTTGTGTGTGTGTGTGTGTGTGTGTGTGTGTGTGTATGAGGTTAATAAACCTCTTGCCTGGCCGGGCGGTGGTGGCGCACGCCTTTAGTCCCAGCACTCGGGAGGCAGAGCCAGGCGGATCTCTGTGAGTTCGAGGCCAGCCTGGACTACCAAGTGAGTTCCAGGAAAGGCGCAAAGCTACACAGAGAAACCCTGTCTCGAAAAACCAAAAAAAAAAAAAAAAAACCCTCTTGCCTAAAGTGACTTAATAGCTTAGCACCCCTTCTCTCCCTCTTTCTTTCTCTCTCACCCTCCCTCTCCTTCTTCCTCCTCTCCTGGACCTCCTTAAAAACGTAGTAGATGAAGTAAATCACAAAGCAAACCAACGGTTATTTAAATAATGGCATAAAATTAAAAAGTAAAAGACTAAGTAAAATGCATGTGGGAGCCCATAGAGGCTCTCTGTTAAGGCCTTGCTCAAGGTCAGAGAGTCTGAGCTTGCTTTGCCCAGGAGGGCTGCATAATGGGATGATTTGACCATGGACGTGGTTACCAAGTGTTCTGAAGGGTCTACACTTGGCTGAACATTATGCTTTGATCTTGCAAGGGCTTTTGCCTCTCCTCTCGGCATTGTTTAAAAAACCCTTTTGAATAAAGTCTCAAGGCGGCTAGGTATTGACCCAGGGGCCTCCCAAAGCTATCCTGTGTCTCTGTCTTTCACCTTGTCACTATCTTTCTTTCTATCATTTCCTCATTCCTCTCTCCTCCACCCAAGAACCCTTCAAAAGGTCAGGGGTGGTCCTCAACAGACTCCGCCTCAAATGTAAGAAGGTTAGACAAGATAATCACGTCCTGTGAAGGAGTTCAGGACATGCCATGTTCACATCTTGATTATTTTAAGCTGAAAGCACTGGAGGGAACAGCAGATACAGGAAGGGCGTCCTGCCCTTCCCTTTCAACCTGAAGCTGGCCAGAAGAGAAAAGTGCTGTCTTTCTATATAGGAGAAGAACACTCTTATCATCAGAGACAGAAATCATGCTGAAATAGATTTATACAAACAAACTTACTAAGGTAAGTCTGATTTCCTACTGCCTTCTCCCAACAATTTACTAGGTTAAAACCTCAGCATAGGCAGAGGCAGAAGGGGCTCTGTGAGTTTGAGGCCAGCCTGGTCTACACAGCAAGTTCCAAGCCTGCCAGGAATACATAGTATGAGCCAAAAAAACAAAACTAACAACAAAAAAAGTTAAGACTGGAATATTTAGGTATTGTTAGTCTTCTATATTTAAAATACTAGAGAATCTTTATATTGTTTTTTTTTCAATATCTGGCTATAAAAATCATTGGCTCCCATGTTCTATTTTAGAAAATATTCATGAAAAGCAATTGATTTAATTTTGGAGCAGTTGATAAAAAAATTCTTTCCTATAGACAACTGAAACAAAGATTTCTTTTTTAATTATTTCTTTTATTTTTTGAGGTTATAATATAATGGCATCATTTTCCCCTTCCCTTTTCTCCATCCAAACCCTCCCATATAGCCTTCCTTGTTATCCTTCAAACTCACAGCCTCTTTTTCATTAATTGTTGTTACACACACACACACACACACACACACACACACACACACACACACCCCCTAAATATGTAAATACAACATGCTCAGTATGTACAATGTTACTTGTGTGTGTGTGTTTTCAGGACTGACTATATGGTACTGG